TTTATTTCAGCTGTGAAGTGGTATCTCATTGTGGCTTTGACTTGCATTTCACCAATTACTAATGATATCAAGTAACTTTTCATGTGCTTGTCATTCATATATCTCCTCTGAATTAATATCTATTCAAATACTTTGTCCATTTCAACATTGGGCTGTCTTCCTATTGTTTTAAGAGTTTTTATATATTCTGAATACTATACTCTTATCAGATATATAATTTGCAAATATTTTCTCCCAGGAATGGGACCTCTTATAACTTTGGAAAAACTTTTGCTAAACATTTAACACCTGCTAATGCTGAATATACACATAGCCTTTGAATTCAGCAACCCATGTCTACATATACACCCAACAGAGAGAACATGTTTTCCACAAGACACATTCAAGACTGTTCATAACAACACAATTAGTAACAGCAACTGGAAAACTGAAACCACCCAAACATCTTGTGGTAGGTTGACTACTGGCCCCCCAAGGATGTCCACATCCTAATCCCTGGAACCTGTGAATGCTACCTTATTTGGCAAAGGGACTCTGCAGGTGTGATTAGGATTTTGAGAGGGGGAAATTAGACTTTGGGATTCTGGTCCACCAAGTAAGGAGTTTGGAAGTCATCTCTCCATCCTAACAAGTAAAAAGCTGAACTGAAAAATCAACAATTCTTCTTAGATCTGTCAGAGGAGTGAGGTCACAGGGCCAACTGCAGTCCTTCATATTGGAGAGGCAGGCAGGTGGACACAGAGAACCACAACTTACTGAAGCAGAAACTTCCAAGCAGAAACCTCTAAGGGAGACAGTGCTGGGGTAAGAAAGCTGGAACTGTAACTGACAAATTGCTAGAGGCTCAGAGTAGACAAGTCTGAGTTTAAAACCTCCAGTTAAAAAAAAAAAAAAAAAAAAACCTCCAGTTAGAAGGGGATCCCCACTGCTTTGTGAGTTTTACCTCCTGGAGCCCTACCAGGGTCTCAAAGGGAAAATCAGAGAAAAATCCCCTGGTGCTTCCAGTAGGGGAAGGAAGAAAGTAACCGGTTTGAAATAAGTCAGAGTATTCTGTTCTTAACAAGGCCTGTCCTCAAGAGAAGCCATTTTATCAGAGCCTCCTTAATTGGGGCTTATCAGAGCCTAAACAGCCTGGTAGAAGGGAAATACCCAGCTCCAGCTCCCTCTAGCCATCCTGTCTCACCTATGGTGTATAAGGGGGCAGGGGGGATGGAGAAGCACTTATGAAGTTCACAGCCCAGGGACACAGGTTCACTGAGACCTAATCATAGGACTACAGAATGCCTCCCCTCCCCAACACCTCACCACCACAGTGCTAAAAGGTCTATTCACTGGAGTTCCTTTTACCTAGTACATCATGTCCAGCTATCAAAAGAAAGTTACAAGGCATAAGTAAAAGGCAAAAAAACACAGTTTGAAGAGACAGAGCAAGCATCAGATTCAGACACGGCAGAGATGTTGGAATTATCAGACCATGAATTTAAAACAACTCTGATTAATATGTTAAGGGCTTTAACAGAAAAAGTAGACACACCAAAACAGATGGCTAATGTAAGCAGAGAGATGGAAATTCTAAGAAATAATTCTTTTTTAAAGGTAGAGATTAAAAAAAAACTAACAAATGATGAATGCTTTCCATGGGCTCATTAGTTGATTAGACATGGCTAAGGAAAGCATCTCTGAGCTGGAGGACCTGTCAACAGAAACTTCCAAAACTAAGAAGCAAAGAGAAAAAAGACTGGGGGAGAAAAAGAGGGAACAGAATACCCAACAACTGTGAGACAACTACAAAAGTTGTAACATATACATGAAAATGCCTGAGAGAAGACAGAAAATGACAGAAAAAGTATGTGAAGCAATAATGACCGAGAATTTCCCCAAAGTTAATGTCAGATACTAAACCACAGATCCAGGAAGTTCAGAGAACACTAAGAAGGATAACCACCTCCCCAAAAGAACTACACCTAGGCATATCATATTCAAACTGCATAAAATCAAAGACTTAAAAAATCTTAAAAGAAGCCAAAGGAAAAAAACACCTATGGAGGAGCAAAGGTTAAGAATAACATCCAATTTCTTTACAGAAACCATGCAAGCAAGACGAGTGACGTGCTGAGGGAGCTTATACTGGATTACTTACGTGGGCCAAAGTGTTTAATCCCATGGATCCTGATACGCGGGAAGCAGCAGGGTCAGAGTGAGAAACAATGTGATGGAAGCAGAGAGTAGAAGATGCTATGCTGTTGGCTTTGAAGATGGAGAGGGGGCCAGGAACCAAGGAATTCAGGCAGCCTCCAGAAGCTGGAAAGGAAGGAAACAGATGCTCCCTGGAGCCTCCAAAAGAAACCAGCCCTGCTTACAGTTTAATTTAACCTAGTACAGCTGATTTTGGATTTCTGACCTCGAGAATGGTATGATAATAAAACTGTATTAAGCCACTAAAATTTGGTAAATTGTTACAGCAGCAATAGGAAACTAATATACACCCATCAATAGCATACTGCAAAAATTAGTGTATTTGCACAATGAAATACTATGGTGCAATGAGAATGGATAACTACTGCTATAGGCAACAAAATGGAGGAACCACAGAATACTAACTAAGAAGCCTGACACAAAAGAATATAAATGTAAGATTCCATTTATATAAAGCTTAAAAATAAGTAAAACTTATCTACAGCTTTGGAAGAAAGGGCAGTAGTTACTTGGTGGGTGGGAGGACTGACAAGGGGCACAAGGGAAGCGCCTGGGGTGCAAATAACGCCGTCTTTCTTGATCCTGATGCTGGTTATATGTGGTCACTTTGTGATATTTCAAACCATACACCTGTAACTTGTACACTTTTCTGTACTGTATACTTCAATAAAAAGTGCTAAAAAAACAAACAAAAAAGATTAAGTAGTTTAAAAACAAATTTCCTTGCAAAAACAGGGACAGGGCTTCCCTGGTGACACAGTGGTTGAGAGTCCGCCTGCTGATGCAGGGGACACGGGTTCGTGCCCCGGTCCGGGAAGATCCCACATGCCGCGGAGCGCCTAGGCCCGTGAGCCATGGCCGCTCAGCCTGTGCGTCCAGAGCCTGTGCTCTGCAATGCGAGAGGCCACAACAGTGAGAGGCCCTCGTACCGCAAAAAAAAAAAAAAAAAGGGACAAAAATAGGTTTAAACACAGTAAACACAAGATTTTTGATTAGTTAAAACTGAATCCCATATAAAGTGAACAATTACAATTACTTTAGGTAACAATGTAATTCTGAGGATTTTCTAGTACATCTCCAATGTCACACAGAAAAAAAACATGAGTTGGTCTAGACATGCAAACACAGGAGACATACCAAAGTATACCATAATGCACAGTCTGCAATTCTCTTCATTAGTTTCACTTACTTCATCAAGTACTACTAGTTTAGAAAAACCGGTCTTTACAACACCAGGACTGCAGAACCCCTACCGGACTGAAGATTTTATCAATGGCATTTTTCATCTCATATTTTATTAAACAAAATGTTTTTGCAAATTAATTTTTCCATGCCCACAAACATCCTAAGTTTTTCCCACACTGAAACAAATTATAACCCTCTCATATATTTTTAGTATTTACATTCAACCATTAGGAGCCAAATACTATTATAAAACCAAACAGATTTTAAAGTTCTAATGAAAGAATTATGTTTGATAGTAGAGGTACTGTCCTCAAATATTTTGTTGAAAAAAAAATCTTTGGAATATATATTTTAAAGTTATAACAAAGACCAATGAAAAGGGTAGTAACCATTGTCCCCCAATTATCTGAAATTACACAATAGGTCAAATGTACATGTGTTCTTTAGTTGAACTTCAGTAGGAAAATCAAACTGTTCTCATGAAGGTTCCAAAACAAGGACTGAAATCTGAGTATTGAAAAGGTGGAACTATTACCAGGTGATCTCACCTGTAAGGGAGTAGCTATGTTTCAGAGCACTTGCCAAACTTTTAAAACAGCTTGTGTCCATTAAATAATGATAAAAGGCTCTATTTTTACTACTAGGAATGCTGATGTAAGATTCTGTAGTTCAAGACATGTTTATGGGGAAGATGTACTGATCAAGGTAAATTCCTTTGACAAGGCAGTGAATCTCATGTACTCGTCTCTTAGAAAGAAGATCAGAAAGCTTAATAATCCTATTAAGTCAAACACTTTAAAATACTAACAAATCTTATTCATTATCTGATAAATACAAATTTAAATATAAGAGAATGCAACAAGTTATTTCAACCTGAATGCAGAGAATAAATACTTTATTAACTGATTATAGTTGAAAGCCACAAACAAAAAAGGGGTATATTAAGGCAGAGCCATATATATATCTATCTATCTATATATAGATATATATAGAGATAGACAGATAGATATATGTAGATATATATATATATATATATATATATAGACAAATCCAAAGACTGTTACCTCTTTACGTTTTAACAACCTCTGCATTTTTCTTTTACACATTTTAGGCAGTGTGCTTTCTTTTCTTCTCAGTTAAAGAAACAAATCTTGACCAATATTTCTAAATCATATTTTGATGACAACTTACAGGATCATGGATTGAGACAATGACTAGTGTATGAAATGCTATCTGATCATTTTCTGAGCATATTCCATGTGTGGTGGTATATTTACGTTGGTGTGGAAAATCTGACAACTGATCTTCTTTTCCAGCAAAACTAACACATAATTTTTTTTAATGATTTTTTAATAGTCTTAATTAAAATAAGCTTGGACTTCCTTCCAAGTAAGTCGAATGCCCAAAGCATATTATTTTCTGCCCTTCTCAAACCCTCCTATATGTTTTAAGTAGCCTTTAGAATATGATCACATGGCTGTATTTCAGATCTATAAATTTGAGTTTTTCAAAATCCAAAATTACTTCCTTACGCAAAGTGGCAATGCAAATAGCAATCCTACATAGTGTAGGATAATTTTTCTTCTGTATACTTCCCTTTTATAAAATGGGCAACCACATACACAAAAAAGACATGAATTTATTAGTCCATCTGAAAAAGCACTCCAGCTCCCTAATTCCACTTTTGAAGGAGAAGGCAGAGGCAAGTTTACATTATCCCAGAAAACTGAATAAATGGCTTTATTTGGTATCTTCAAGAAGCTTCTCCTTCCGTAGGAGATGTGGGTGTTGCAGGAGAAGCTGTAACTGGTTTTCGTGCAATTCTGTCTAGTTCCGCGTGAACATCTGATAGGACAGGTTTCTGGCCTATTTAAAGAAAAAGAAACCAAGATTTAGACATAAGTCAAAATATCCTTAACACCAATGTGTCTTCATTTAACAATTGCCAACAGTTTCATTAACTTTATCTAAAACACAGTTATATAAACATCCTTAATTTAAAAATAAATTCCCTTTTTTTTTTTTTCTTTTTTGGCCTCACCACGCAACATGCAGGATCTTAGTTCCCTGACTAGGGAGCGAACCTGCACCCCCTGCAGTGGAAGCACAGTCTTAACCACTGGACCGCCAGGGAAGCCCCTAAATTCCCTCATTTTAAATTGTGGGGTCTGTTATCAAATAGAAGTAAAACTAGCACCTACCATTTAATCTCATAAAGGTATACTTTTTTAAAGGCATAGAATAAGAACAGTAAAAGAGAAAAATAGCAACAAAATTTCGGAATTTGGAAAGATGAGTGAGTGGTAATTAAATCAGCAGTACTGAGAAAGGTAATCTTCAACACTGAGAGTGTGAGAAGCCAGAAAATAATTCAATTTATACCCAGAAACCTGTAAAATGTTCAAAAATGGTAGCTGCAGGTACTTGTGAAAAAGGTGGCAAGAAGGTGTGATTTAAAAAGGAGAATGGGTTAAAAAGTCTGCTTGAAGAGCAATTATAAAAACAACAAAAGGAAAAGACTTCATCAAAATTCAAAACTTTTGTGCTTCATAGGACACTCAAGAAAGTGAAGGGATAACCAACACAGGGGGAGAAAACATTTGCAAATTCTACATCTGATAAGGGTCTAGTAAAGAGAATATATAAAAAACACTTAGAACTCAACAATAAGAGAAATAACCCGATTTTAAAATGGGCAAAGGATTTGAATAGACATTTCACCGAAGAAGATATACAAATGGTTATTAAACACATGAAAAGATTCTCAACATAATTAACTATCAGGGAAATGCAAATCAAAACCACAATGAGATACAACTTCACAGCCAAAATGATGGCTCTAACCAAAAAGATGGACAAGTGGTGATCATTTTATAATGTATAAAAATATCAAATCACTATGTTGTACACCTGAAACTAATATATTGTAAATCAATTATATTTCAATTAAAACACACACACACACACACACACAAATAGAGAGACATTTTGGACTTGGTTAAGCAAAACCAAAAAAAAACAAAACAACTAAAACACAAAGATGAACAATAACAACTGTTGGAAGGGATGGAGAAAAACTGGGGCCCTCATAAACTGCTGGTGGGAATGTAGAATGGTATAGCATTTTGGAAAACACTTTGGCGGTTCTTTAAAAATTTAAACATAGAGTTACCACATGACCCAGCAATTCCACTCCTAGATATATACCCAGGAGAAATGAAAACATATGTCCATCAACTGATAAATGGATAAATAAAATATGTATGCATATCCATACAATGGAATTTTTTCAGCAGTAAAAAAAACCAAAATATTGATACATATGCTACAACATGGATGAACCTCGGAAACATTATTTTAAAGAAGGCATAAACTATATGACTCCATTTATATGAAATCTCCAGATAGGCAAATACAAAGAGACAGAAAACATTGTTTGTTGCCTAGGAGGACTTCAGGGGAGGGAAGAATAACTGCTAATAGGCTGGGCGTTAGGCAAGGATAACTGCTAATAGGTTGGATGTTTCTTTTTAGTGAGAAGAAAATGTTCTAAAATTAGATTATGGTAATGGTTTACGTATGTCTGTAAATATACTAAAACTTTGAATTGTACACTTTAAATGAACAAAGTTCATGGTATGTAAATTATATCTCAATAAAGCTGTTTAAAAAAAAAAAGCTCCAGGTAACTATACCTGACTTTTTGGCAGATGGTGGTAAACCACTGCTTCCACCTCCAGCCCCACCTCCAGGGCTACCACCACCAACACCAGGGCCTCCTGGGGAACCAGTCTTTTTACTCAGCAAACTATTGAAGAAATTTGCCAGGACACCTTCACTTGTAGCTCCAGCTACAAAAAAAAAAAAGGTTAAGATAAAAAACTTGTACTCAAAGCATTCAACTTTTCTATAAATTATCATTGTAGAACTATACACAGAAAATGTTCCAAATTCAAGTTTAATCTTTTGAGGCTGGGTAACTTCTCTAATCTACTCATATATAAAACAAAATATGAGTGTTAAGAGCATAAGATAATTATTAAAAAATTAGAGAGTTATTTTTAAAAGGCAAAAGGCATTTAAAACAGATTGTTAAATGTATTGTGTTGCTTTCTCTAAGAAAGAGAGAAATGTACCTTTCATGTTTGGATCAATTTTTTTTGACCCAGCAGGGATGGGTGACACACTGGCAACATTGGACGACACAGATCTGTTTGGTGTTCGAGGGGAGCCTCCTGGGACTCTTGGCGAGGCATCCTAAGTAAAAATAGGAAAGCCATAATTACAGAACCCTGAAACTTTCAACTTCACAGAAATTATCACAAAAGGAAACTACTTTGCAACTGTCCCCCATATCTTCTACTGGTCCCTTTACGCTGCAAGCCCTGGGCAGAAGTGTTTAGCAATTGTGCCCTCATTATTAGAATACCAGAGACCCACTGCATTTTAGAATACTAACTTTCCCTTCAACGGAAAAAGAAGAACATATTGAATATGAGGTGTGGTTATGAGTATAAGCTTGGGAGTCAGATCTGGACTCCAATCTGGACTTGCATCCCATCCCACCAGCTGTAAAACCTCCGGCAAGCCATGATGTCCTCCAAAGCCTCCATTTCCCCACCAGCAAAATGGGGGACCTGTCTCATCTGGCTGTTGTGAGGATTTATAAAATAGCACATATAAATGGTTTGGCACAGTAACTCATGTGGGACAAATGTTGCAAAATAGATATTTATGATTTCAATATTCTAAAAGGGAGTGAAGTTTTATCTTTTAAAATCTCACAAATTCCAGGAGAATCCTTAATTCAAGTTTATATCAAAGCATACCCATTTGAGACAGGTATATAATTAAGAAAAAAAGAACTAAAACAATATGCACTGCATTTTAATAATTTTGTCAAAATCTGTAATACTGACCACAGGCCTTCCAGCTGCAGTTGGTGGTTGCTTTGCTAAAAGGGACTGAAAAACACACAAAACTCTAGGTTAGATACTCAGGCATGTATTGCTGTATTTTTAAAGAAAATATGTACAAGAATAGTTTAACCATTAATCATACTAAGTCTATTTCTGATGTAATTTCATACCTGTAGCTTCATAAGAAACACTTGGTCATCTTCTGCCACAATTTCCTTCTCATGCACAAACTGAAATGAGCAACGCATAAATGAGCAAGTCTCATATATTATGTTAATGTCATTCACAACTTACTCTCTAGATTAGAATAATTTTTTAAAAAAACACCAAGAATATGAACATTACCTAAACCATATTTACATGGGTGAGCTCCCCTCCCCAAGGCCCTAAGCAGAGTTGTCCAATACCTATCTGCAATAATATAAATATCCTATATCTGTGCTGTGCAATACGTTAGCCTGTAGCTACTGAGCAGCTGAAATGTGGCTACTGTAACTGAGAAACTGAATTTTTAATTTTATTTAGTTGTACTTAATTTATATTTAAAAGCTGTATGTGACTAGTAGCTACTGTATTAGACAGCACAACCTGAGAGCCACAGGCATATCAGTCATGCTTATAAAATCTGCTAAGCAACAGTTAGGTGTTTTAAAAGGGCCAATAACATCCCAGCTGAGTGAAAATCAACCTGTCCCTGGTTTCCCTGAAATAAAAACATAATGCCTCTTCTACCGGCTGAATAATAAGAAAAAAAAGGAGTTGCAAATGTCTCCTGCTCCTCCTATTTCTGTACAAGGCACGCCATAGTCTATTTTTCCACCCAGTAGCCAGAGCGATCCTTTGAAAGGTTAGGTCAGATTATATCACTCCTGTGCTCAAACTCGCCCCCCCACCCCCATCACTTTCCATCCCACTCAGCATGAAATCCAAAGTCCTGACTGCAGCCTAATGATGAGGCCTTTCTCTCCTACCACTCTGGTCCTCTGGGGCTCTTTTCCAGCCTCTCTGGCCCCCTCACACACTCCTGCCTCAGGGCATGTGCACTTCCTGCTCCCTGTGCCTTCAACATTCTCCCCTCTCATCAGAGACATGCCCTCATCATTTCTAAAACTGCAGCCCTCCCCACCTCGGTCCTCTCATTCACCCTTCCCTCACTCGGCTTCATTTCCATAGCACTGATCACCACTTGAGAGGTGGCATATATACTGATTCACTACTGCATCACCCTCCTATTCAGCACCTAGTGCCTAAACAGTGGCTCAATAAATATTTGCAAAATGAATAAAAGACAACTTAGAGCACAATTTTGCTGGTAAAAGAGAGAATGGGAAAAATTGGGTTTTTTTTTTTGATGTGTGCATTTCTTTTAACAGACATCCAAACCAAGTAACACACCAACCGATTTTTTTTTTGATTTTTCATTTGACATTACTTTTCTTATTTCTAACTACTCAATGTAAATATTTGGGTTCTTAATTAAGAACTTTATTATATGTTAAATCAAAATTACTTTTTCCCGAAACACGTTCAAATTAGCCAGTGAGAAGTACTACATGCAAACACTCATTTTTATACAACTTTTCATAAGCATCTATACTATCTAACCATAAAACACCATATACTGCTTAGCAAAATCAAGATATATAAAAGAAGAATACCTTCTGAAACGAGATTTAATAGTTATAAGAATGACATGTAACAGTAAAGACTAAAATTAAATCTAGGAACCTGGCAGCCCCTGGACAGCCGTGGGCTAGTATGAATAACTAATGACCATGAAGATGCAAGATCTGCCTAGACAGACAGAAGCCAATACAATTATTCTAACAAGGTATTCTCGGCTTTTGGTTGAGCTCTAGGTTGTAAAGTACACAAATTGATAGAAAAGGACCCCCCTTACCTTTCTACCTACAATCTTAAAATTATGGACTTCCCCCTCAGTTTAAAAGCCTAAATATTAAGACTATATACTAAAACTGTTACCTTTCGGACAGGTGGTTTAGTTATGATGTCTTCAAAATTATCTTCTGCTTTTAACATTTGAAAATTTTCATGTAATATTCCTATCTTCTTATCATTATCCCACCCTGCTGGACTAGAAAGAAATGCACATGACAAATTCTCAAGCGTTTATATAGTCATTCTTTCATTCAATCCATGACCATATTAAGGGGAATATTTTTATGAAGTTAAATTTGACCAATTATGGAAAATTAATCAGTTTTATTATAATACTCAAGTTTACTAATTTCTACTTAAAATTATTATCAATCTTCCTGATTTTAAAACTGTCATTACAGGTTTCTTGGGGAGAAGGTGGTAATTATTTTTACCTCCCAATTTATTCAGATAACTTTTCAAAGCATGTCTAGATTATACATTGGGTCCTTTATGTATCATAACCAATTAGTGAGTAGATACATTGATATATGCACCCAATAGATAGTTTAGTTATAATAGCAAGCCTTTCAAAAGGGTTCAGGCCAGCAGTAAAACTAAAAGGCAAAGATAAATAAATCAAGGCGGGTTATACATAAAACCATCTAGGAACAGATTCTCACCTACTCATCATGGAAAAGTCTACTGGTCTCACTTCAAATGAAAATGAGATGATGAGGATGATGCACCATTGAACTGGAGCAACAACACATGATAAAACAATACATTTAAGAGTATACTTACATAAATACTGCATCTTTTTCCACAACAATAGCAGGAATCTTATAGGGAAATCCATAGAGTTTCTGAACAATGTATTTATATACTAAATCTATATTTTTGTTTTCTTTTACTGAAGTGTAAATAAGTGCTGCACCATCTGAACGAACACCGTTAAAGAAATTTTTGGACAAACTCTATCAACAGGTACCATAAAATTTTGTGTTCTCAGCTTAGCATTTATACATATTGGTTTCAAAAATAATTTCCAAAGGTATAATTACATGGTAATCAAGACTTTCAAAACTATAAAATACTTATATACAGGCTAAGATGCAAATAAAACTATCTCTACATAAGTGATTTAACTTAGGAGGGCAAAAATCTCATTAGCCAAGAAAGTAAAGGTAAATTTAATAACTGACACCACTACTACCTCTACATTTAAAGCATATGAAGAGGCAATTTATTTTTGTCTTTAACCTTCCTAAACTTCATGAAGGAGGGATATTATTTATCAAAAGCTGTTTTGCCTTTTCAACAAAAGTGGTTTGCACTAATGTCTCTTATAGTTTTTACTAGTCCAGGAATTAGGACTTTGGGGAGAAAGCTCAGGAGATCCACTGAACAGAGAAGATGAACCATCAAGAACCATCAGGAAGCTTTCAGGAACAATCCAAGGCAAAAGTAGACTTCATGACCAAAATGCTAGCACTAGCCATTGGGTCTCAAGAGAGATGGTGACTCAGGCCAAGAGGAAATGATGAGAATAGTCTAACTTCTGAATTAGGATACTCGTATTTTCTAGGAAACAAACCAAGGCTTATGAACCTTAAAATGGTATTGGCTAAATACTACTTGTCATAATACTTAATTTGGTAGAAACAAACATCATAATCTTAAGTAAATGCTTAATTGTGTGAACTTTTCATGAATGATCTTTCTCACGAGAGCCAATTTATAATTTGGAAGATTTACACAGCTGGAAAATTTACAATGCGATTAAAATTTTTTAATTTTTAAAATACAGATGATTTTGAATTGTCCTCACTGACACACACACACCCCTCTCACTATCTTTTTTTTTTTTTTTTTTTTATTTATTTTTGGCTGTGTTGGGTCTTTGTCGTTGCATACAGGCTTTCTCTAGTTGTGGTGAGCCGGGGGCTACTCTTCATTGCAGTGCACAGGCTTCTCACTGCAGTGGCCTCTCTTGTTGCAGAACATGGGCTCTATGCGCATGGGCTTCAGCAGTTGTGGCTCACAGGCTCTAGAGTGCAGGCTCAGTAGTTGTGGCGCACGGGCTTAGTTGCTCCACGGCATTTGGGATCTTCCTGGCGGGGCTCGAACCCGTGTCCCCTGCATTGGCAGGCAGATTCTTAACCACTGCGCCACCAGGGCAGCCCCCCTCTCACTCTCTTGAAGTGATTTCTTGTTTTGTATTGTTTTAAAATCAACCAGCTCTACTAAAGGTCTGTAATTATTGTAGTGGACAGTCTCCTTCCTGATTACATCTCTATATGTACATTTCCAAGTGTAGCTTTAAATAAATGTTTAAAGAGACTATTTGTTCTCAAATTTTCTAATCTGCAAAGATAACAAAAAAGGCTATCAACACCTACTTCAATTACTTCTTTCTGTTTTCTTTTGCAGACAAATGCCCTTTAATTCAATCCAACTAACCATTATGTGACATGAGAAGAGAAAGTGCCATGGAGGACAAAGTACTGAAGGAAAAAGGGAAAAGGGAAACTCCCAGTGTCAAGTGATCTTATTCATTATTCAACGAGGCTCTTGCCAAGTGGTCCTTAAATTAAACGTCCATTAATGACGATGAAAAACTACAGATACTATAAACGTGTGTACATTACTTATTCCTCTCTACTCCTGCTATCTATCATTTCTTCACTTTTCAGACCCAAAAGCTTTGATTGGTGAATGCAAATGCAAAACATCTGATCCAAGGGGGCAAGTGAGAACACCTCTCTTCGGTGCTCTCAAGCTGTCTGAAGTTTTCAACACGAAATTCTCTTAAAAGCATTCACTCATTTTATCCTTTGTTTAGTTGTAAATGTTACTCACTGGCTCATATAATCCTTGCAACCTAGACTACACAAGATTCCTTATGCTAGGTTTTTTAACCTTGTGATCATCAGAATTACCCAGAAAAGCTTTTTTAAAATTCAGCATAGATTCTCCAGCCTCCCCTTGGAATGTTCCAATTCAGTAAGTCTTAGATGAGCACAGCCAGATTTAAAAACCACTGCATTAGACTATAGTGGAGATAACATAGTAAACAAATTAAAAACAAGAACACACAAACCCAAATATTGATCTTTCCCTACCACCCACCCCCAAGAAATGAATACCAGTTTTCTGCAAGAATGTTTTCAATGCCAACTCATTAGAATTTTCTACATAAGTCTGATCATTATTTTTCTTAATCACAGTAGTTTAAAAACAGCAAATCAAAGTTACATATTTCAATACTTGCTTTTATATCTCAAAATACCTAGATATAAATGATTTGGGAATTGAAATTTCCAACCAGAGGCAGGAGGAAAAAAGTATATGGAATTTCTGAAGTCATCGATTTATTCCTTTACTTAAACAAACAAGCAAACAGCTAAGGAACACTGCACCAATCAATGTATTAAAAGGATACACTGTAAACAAAACTTCCGGATATGAGACTGAATAAAATCGAAATGCTCATCTCTGTAGTCATGTTCTTTCTCCAACACACTAATGGCATCACACTAATGAGTTAAAATAATTTTAAAAACAATATTAACTTTAAATAATAATATAATGATTTAAACAGTTCAATGTTGGGTGAGGGATTATCACAAAACTACCACTCTGATACAGTGACTGAATCAGTAGAACCTAGAATATTAATTACTCCTATACGTCTAGAGACTTTTAGTTGGAGTCGTAAGACTAATGAATACTTTTATTTCTTTAAAAAGCTCTGATTTCTATGATATATTGAATGCGATGAGAACACCAAAGAGAAAGTTTTAGTACATAAAGGAATGAAGAATAACAGGACAAGCTTATAATGGGCGGTCATACTTGCTAACTCAACGACTTATGTCCTAGAACAAAGTTTTTAAGATCTAAAATCTATTCTAGTTCTATAAAACACTCTGTATATCCAGGGAGTCTGCACCTCTCACTATTTCCCCTTTGTTCCTCTGCTTATTTGATAGCTCTTAATTGACCTTTATTTCTTTTCTGGTGCTTTTATTCACTCTCACTTCAACTTCACCAACAGCAAAAAAGGGGAATTACAGGCTATTTCTGAAATGTCACCTGTACAATCAATGAAACAATTCTGAATTCTGCTTGCTACAAAAAAAATGTTAGGAAAAAAATTAAGGCATGTTCAGACATCATGATATCCAAATAACTTCATCAAAACTTTTGTGAATTGAAGGTTATGAAATTTAAAAATAAACAATGTCCATCATACCTAATATTAGTTTGGGGGCAAATTTGATGTCTTTTTGATATGTAATTTTTTGTTATGCATATATATAACATAGGACAGTCTCCTTAAATAAACATGATATAGCATACTGTCTATGTTATAGAACACTGAGAGTAATTATTTCAAAGTATTAAAGATACTTATTATATTGTTGACTTATGACATTTTTGGTGAAGCATGACAGTTTAGTAAACTTTTTAAAACATTTTTAACTGAAATATGAGGATCTGGCAAGAAACCTAGTCTCTCTGTCTCAATTTCAAGCGTCTTTAAACTGAGTTGAACAACCATTCTTCATCTATCCTGAGACACACATTCCCCCATCCCCCCACACACTTTAAAAGCTCTTAAACTGAAGCAGAACTGACGGTGTCTTAGATTCTGTGAAATACTGTAGATGATCTCTTTTGGCTTGAAAATTTTACAATCTATGACTCATTTGATACTGATTCAGGTACCCTTAAAGCTTGACATTTTTTCTTTGAAAAATAAAGAGCTTTTTATAAGGCAAGTTGTGGTGTAAAAACAGGAAAATATCTGCCAATAAACAGCTCTTTGCCAAACAAAATAAAACCCAAACAAACCACAGACAAAAGGATTCTATTGTAAGAGTTTAAGCACAGTTTTATGCAAAAGATATAAGTAACAATTAACTACACCTGAATCACCATTTGAAAAGCAGACAATAGACTTTGACTTAATTCTTTTAAATGCTCCCCCCCACATTCCTTTGTTATTGATAATTTTTGTAGTGTTTAAAGTAAAACTTAAGCTATATTTAAAATTTTTTATCATTTTTATTCCAAAGGTGAACAAATTCCACACCCTCCTTCACTCAGATGTGAAAATTTTACATTACAAAAAACATAATAATTTTAGATCTCAAAAGCGTTTATATGTTCTGTAATTATCTTAACTATTCCATGGCTTACACAGTAAAGACATACTACTTAGGACCAAATGGGGAGAAGATGACCTTTAAATTATTTTTTAAAGGAAATTTGACTGTATTATAAAGTGTATACAGTGACAGAACTAAATTAACAGAATTTTTATAATAGTAATCCTACCAGAATCTCTTAAATAAATAAAAGGCCTTTGATAACTGCATATCAACTTTACATAATGAGTACTGATACATCTTTAAAATTAAGTCTATTTTATTTTAAGTACATTTTCTAATATCAAGATATTAGTATATAAAACTTACTGTGGAAAAATATTTTATTTTATGAAGTTGATAGTTTTCATCTTACCTGTAACTATCTCCACTAAACTGACTATACAATTTGAAGTCTAACTGGAATTAGGAAAATGAAATTTGATCACAAATTTTAGAATATCTGAAGTAACATTTTCTTTCAAAGAAAACTATGATTAAGTTCACAAAACAAACATGTGAATATCATTCAATATTTTAAACTATTATATCTACTTATTAAGAAAAGTTACCTAGGAAAACTAATGTGTCAACTCCAAAAGGAGCCTAGAAAATAAAACAGTTGTTCATCCTTGGTTAGTAACAGTAGTAGAATCTGTAGGAAGCAAACTAACCTTTGTGCAAACTACTAGTACTGGAATGCCCAAGTTCTGTGTAAGTGTATCTGCACCCAGAGGTAAAACCACACTGTCGTCTTTGTCTTCCTGTGATGCGGTAGTTCTTCTCTGAGGAGAAGCTGGGAAATCTTCTCCTGGCTCTACATATTCTTGAAAGTCTCTAATCACTGAAAATCAAAGTAAATAATTTAATACATAGTTTAGAAATGGCTTTTTATTTCAACAGGTAGCTTTTCTGCCGTCTAAATACATATGTTACTAGAGTTCACACTTAGTCTTGTGTAAGAAACAAAAAGGTTTTGAGAAATCCAATTCAAAGACAGTACAGAAACTCTGGACCCACATTAATTATCAGGAGGCAGAATAAAACACTGAGTGGCTCCAAAGAGTGGGGTTCAATGCAGGCCTGGTTCAATCTGTGCAAATTACTGTGGGCAAGTCACAACTGAGCTCTGTCCCTCTACCCTCTCTAATTCACAAACAGCACTGAAAGGATAGAAGAAAATATAAATACGTGGGGGGGGTGGAAGGTTTCCACGATCTAAAAGACAGTTCCAGATGGCTTTCTAATATTAACTTCCTTTCTCAAAACCCTTTATTCAGGTCTCCTCCTCTTTACCTAGGTGCAATCTTGAGCCATGTTTACCCTATAACCCCCATAAAAACTAGGGAGATATTATCAATACTAGTAAGTTTTTAGAAATCGTTTGCAAAATTGTCAAAACCTTTACTTAAAAAAAGTTAATGTGGGAGAGGAACCAAGATGGCAGAGTAGAAGGACGTGCTTTCCCTCCCTCTTGCAAGAACACCAGAATCACGACTAGCTGCTGGACAGTCATCGACAGGAAGGCACTGGAACTCACCAAAAATGATACCCCACATCCAAAGACAAAGAAGCAGCCACAATGAGATGGTAGGAGGGGCACAATCGCAATAAAATCAAATCCCATAACTGCTGGGTGAGTGACTCACAAACCAGAGAACACTTATGCCACAGAAATCCACCCACTGGAGTGAAGGTTCTGAGCCCCACGTCAGGCTGCCCAACCTGGGGGTCCAGCAACGGGAGGAGGAATTCGTAGAGAATCAGACTTTGAAGCCTAGTGGGAATTGATGGCAGGACTTCGAAGGACTGGGGGAAACAGAGACTCCACTCTTGGAGGGCACACACAAAGTAGTGTGCGCATCAGGACCCAGGGGAAGGAGCAGTGACCCCAGGGGAGACTGAACCAGACCTACCTGCTAGTGTTGGAGGGTCTCCTGCAGAGGCGGGGGGTGGCTGTGGCTCACTGTGGGGACAAGGACACTGGCAGCAGAAGTTCTGGGAAGTACTCCTTGGCGTGAGCCCTCCCAGAGTCTGGCATTAGCCCCACCAAAGAGCCCAGGTAGGCTCCAGTGTTTGGTTGCCTCGGGCCAAACAACCAACAGGGAGGGAACCCAGCCCGACCTATCAACACTCAAGTGGATTAAAGTTTTACTGAGCTCTGCCCACCAGAGCAAGAGTCAGCTCTACCCACCACCAGTCCCTCCCATCAAGCCTCTTAGATAGCCTCATCCACCAGAGGGCAGACAGCAGAAGCAAGAAGAACTACAATCCTTCAGCCTGTGGAACAAAAACCACATTCACAGAAAGACAGACAAGATGAAAAGGCAGAGGGCTATGTACCAGATGAAGGAACAAGATAAAACCCCAGAAAAACAACTAAATGAAGTGGAGATAGGCAACCTTCCAGAAAAATAATTCAGAATAATGATAGTGAAGATGATCCAGGAACTTGGAAAAAGAATGGAGGCAAAGATCGAGAAGATGCAAGAAATGTTTAACAAAGACCTAGAAGAATTAAAGAACAGAGATTAACAATACAATAACTGAAATGAAAACTACACTAGAAGGAATCAACAGCAGGATAACTGAGGCAGAAGAACGGATAAGTGACCTGGAAGACAGAATAGTGGAATTCACTGCTGCGGAACAGAATAAAGAAAAAGAATGAAAAGAAATGAAGACAGCCTGGGGACAGCCTGGGACAACATTAAACACAACAACATTCACATTATAGGGTTCCCAGAAGGAGGAGAGAGACAGAAAGGAGCAGAGAAAATATCTGAAGAGATTATAGTCAACAACTTCCCTAACACGGGAAAAGAAATAGCCACCCAAGTCCAGGAAGCGCAGCAAGTCCCATACAGGATAAACCCAAGGAGAAAAATGCCGAGACACATAGTAATCAAATTGGCAAAAATTAAAGACAAAGAAAATTATTGAAAGCAGCAAGGGGAAAATGACAAATAACATACAAGGGAACTCCCATAAGGTTAACAGCTGATTTCTCAGCAGAAACTCTACAAGCCAGAAGGGAGCGGCATGATATACTTAAAGTGATAAAAGGCAAAAACCTACAACCAAGATTACTCTACCTGGCAAGGATCTCATTCAGATTTGATGGAGAAATCAAAAGCTTTACAGACAACCAAAAGCTAAGAGAATTCAGCACCACCAAACCAGCTCTACAAGAAATGCTAAAGGAACTTCTCTAAGTGGGAAACACAAGAGAAGAAAAGGATCTACAAAAACAAACCCAAAACAATTAAGAAAATGGTCATAGGAACATACATACCGATAACTACGTTAAACGTGAATGGATTAAATGCCCCAACCAAAAGACATAGGCTCGCTGACTGGATACAAAAACAAGACCCATCTATATGCTGTCTACAAGAGACCCCCTTCAGACCTAGGGACACATACAGACTGAAAGTGAGGGGATGGAAAAAGATATTCCATGCAAATGGAAATCAAAAGAAAGCTGGACTAGCAACACTCATATCAGATAAAATAGACTTTAAAATAAAGAATGTTACAAGAGACAAGGAAGGACACTACATAATGATCAAGGGATCAATCCAAGAAGAAGATATAACAATTATAAATATATATGCACCCAACACAGGAGCACCTCAATACATAAGGCAACTGCTAACAGCTATAAAAGAGGAAATAGACAGTAACACGATAATACTGGGGGACTTTAACACCTCACTTACACCAATGGACAGATCATCCAAAATGAAAATAAATAAGGAAACACAAGCTTTAAATGACACAATAGACCAGATAGATTTAATTGATATTTATAGGACATTCCATCCAAAAACAGCAGATTACACTTTCTTCTCAAGTGCGCACGGAACATTCTCCAGGATAGATCACATCTTGGGCCACAAATCAAGCCTCAGTAAATTTAAGAGAATTGAAATCATATCAAGCATCTTTTCTGACCACAACGCTATGAGATGAGAAATGAATTACAAGGAAAAACACGTGAACAACACAAACACATGGAGGCTAAACAATACGTTACTAAATAACCAAGAGATCACTGAAGAAATCAAAGAGGAAATCAAAAAATACCTAGAGACAAATGACACTGAAAACACGATGATCCAAAACCTATGGGATGCAGCAAAAGCAGTTCTAAGAGGGAAGTTTATAGCTATACAAGCCTACCTCAAGAAACAAGAAAAATCTCAAATAAACAATCTAACCTTATACCTAAAGGAACTAGAGAAAGAAGAATAAACAAAACCCAAGGTTGGCAGAAAGAAAGAAATCATAAAGATAAGAGCAGAAATAAATGAAATAGAAACAAATAAAACAATAGCAAAGATCAACAAAACTAAAAGCTGGTTCTTTGAGAAGATAAACAAAATTGATAAACAATTAGCCAGACTCATCAAGAAAAAGAGGGAGAGGACTCAAATCAATAAAATTAGAAATGAAAAAGGAGAAGTTACAACAGACACCGCAGAACTACAAAGCATCCTAAGAGACTACTAAAAGCAACTCTATGCCAATAAAATGGACAACCTGGAAGAAATGGACAAATTCTTAGAAAGGTATAACCTTCCAAGACTGAACCAGGAAGAAACAGAAAATATGAACAGACCAATCACAAGGAATGAAATTGAAACTGTGATTAAAAATCTTCCAAAAAATAAAAGTCCAGGACCAGATGGCTTCACAGGTGAATTCTATCAAACATTTAGAGAAGAGCTAACAACACCCATCCTTCTCAAACTCTTCCAAAAAATTGCAGAGGAAGGAACACTCCCAAACTCATTCTTTGAGGCTACAATCACCCTGATACCAAAACCAGACAAACATACTACAAAAAAAGAAAATTACAGACCAGTATCACTGATGAATATAGAGGCAAAAATCTTTCACAAAATACTAGCAAACAGAATCCAACAACACATTAAAAGGATCATACACCATGATCAAGTGGGATTTATCCCAGGGATGCAAGGATTCTTCAATATACGCAAATCAATCAATGTGATACACCATATTAACAAACTGAAGAAAAAAAACCATATGATATCTCAACAGATGCAGAAAAAACTTTTGAAAAACCTCAACACCCACTTATGATAAAAACTCTGCAGAAAGTGGGCAGAGGGAACCTACCTCAACACAATAAAGGCCATATACAACAAAGCCACAGCCAACATCATTCTCAATAGTGAAAAACTGAAAGCATTTCCTCTAATATCAGGAACGAGACAAGGATGTCCACTCTCACCGCTATTATTCAACATAGTTTTGGAAGTCCTAGCCACGGCAATCAGAGAAGAAAAATAAATAAAAGAATATAAATTGGAAAGGAAGAAGGAAAACTGTCACTGTTTGTAGATGACATGATACTACACATAGAGAATCCTAAAAATGCCACCAGAAAACTACTAGAGGTAATCAATGAATTTGGTAAAGATGCAGAATACAAAATTAATGAACAGAAATCTCTTGCGCTCCTATACACTAATGATGAAAAATCTGAAAGAGAAATTATGGGAACGCTCCCATTTACCACTGCAACAAAAAGAATAAAATACCTAGCAATAAACCTACCTAGGGGAGCAAATGACCTGTATGCAGAAAACTATAAGACACTGATGAAAGAAGGTAAAGATGATACCAACAGTTGGAGAGATATACCATGTTCTTGGATTGGAAAAATCAATATTGTGAAAATGACTATACTACCCAAAGCAATCTCCAGATTCAATGCAATCCCTATCAAATTAACAATGGCATATTTTACAGAACTAGAACAAATCATCTTAAAATTTGTATGGAGACACAAAAGACCCCGAATAGCCAAAGCAGTCTTGAGGGAAAAAAACAGAGCTGGAGGAATCAGACTCCCTGACTTCAGACTATACTACAAAGCTACAGTAATCAAGACAATATGGTACTGGCACAAAAACAGAAACACAGATCAATGGAACAAGATAGAAAGTCCAGAGATTAACCCACGCACCTATGGTCAACTAATCTACGACAAAGAAGGCAAAGATATACAATGAAGAAAAGACAGTCTCTTCAATAAGTGGTGCTGGGAAAACTGGACAGCTACATGTAAAAGAATGAAATTAGAACACCCCCTAACACGACACACAAAAATAAACTCAAGAGATGGATTCGAGACCTAAATGTAAGACCAGACACTATAAAACTCTTAGAGGAAAACATAGGAAGAACACTCTTTGACAAAAATCACAGCAAGATCTTTTTTGATCCATCTCCTAGAGTAATGGAAATAAAAACAAAAACAAACAAATGGGACCTAATGAAACTTCAAAGCTTTTGCACAGCAAAGGAAACCATAAACAAGACGAAAAGACAACCCTCAGAATGGGAGAAAATATTCGCAAACGAATCAACGGACAAAGGATTAATCTCCAAAATATATAAACAGCTCATGCAGCTCAATATTAAAGAAACAAACAACCCAATCCAAAAATGGGCAGAAGACCTAAATAGACATTTCTCCTAAGAAGACATACAGATGGCCAAGAAACACATGAAAAGCTGCTCAACATCACTAATAATTAGAGAAATGCAAATCAAAACTACAATGAGGTATCACTTCACACCAGTTAGAATGGGCATCATCAGAAAATCTACAAACAACAAATGCTGGAGAGGGTGTGAAGAAAAGGGAACCCTCTTGCACTGTTGGTGGGAATGTAATTGATACAGCCACTATGGAGAACAGTATGGAGGTTCCTTAAAAAACTAAAAATAAGGCTTCCCTGGTGGTGCAGTGGTTGAGAGTTCGCCTGCTGATGCAGGGGACACTGGTTCGTGCCCCAGTCCGGGAAGATCCCACATGCCGCAGAGCGGCTGGGCCCGTGAGCCATGGCTGCTGAGCCTGCGTATCCAGAGCCTGTGCTCCGCAACGGGACAGGCCACAACAGTGAGAGGCCCGTGTACCGCCGCAAAAAAAAAAAAAAAAAAACTAAAAATAGAATTACCATATGATCCAGCAATCCCACTACTGGGCATATACCCAGAGAAAACCATAATTCAAAAAGACACATGCACCCCAATGTTCATTGCAGCACTATTTACAACAGCCAGGTCATGGAAGCAACCTAAATACCCACTGACAGACAAATGGATAAAGAAGATGTGGTACATATATACAATGGAATATTACTCAGCCATAAAAAAGAACGAAATTGAGTCATTTGTTGAGACGTGGATGGATCTAGAGACTGTCATACAGAGTGAATTAAGTCAGAAAGAGAAAAACAAATATCATATATTAACGCATGTATGTGGAACCTAGAAAGACGGTACAGATGAACCGGTTTGCAGGGCAGAAGTTGAGACACAGATGTAGAGAACAAACGTATGGACACCAAGGGGGGAAAACCGTGGTGGGGGTGGGGATGGTGGTGTGATGAATTGGGCGATTGGGTTTGACATGTATACACTGATGTGTATAAAACTGATGACTAATAAGAACCTGCAGTATAAAAAAACAAACAAAAAAACTAACACTAAACTTTCTTTGGGTTATTTGTATGGAAATATGTTAATATAAATGTTTCAGACACTACATGAAATTTCTAAAAATCTTATATGTTCTGGTATAATGTTGTAAGTCATAATTCTAGTTATTTAAAATGTATATCTCAGAAATAACTGAATTTCCTTGTCAACTGCATTATTATGAACTTTCATCAAATCTTTTTTTTTCTTTTTTTTCTTTTTAAGGATCCTCCAGTAGGAGCTGGGGCCTCAAGGATGCCTGCCTCTTTCAGAGTTTTATCTAGGGGATTGTCAGCCTCATGACTGCTCCTTCTTTTTTTTTTTTTGGCAGTACGCGGGCCTCTCACTGCTGTGGCCTCTCCCGTTGTGGAGCACAGGCTCCGGATGCACAGGCTTAGCGGCCATGGCTCACAGGCCCAGCCACTCCGTGGCATGTGGGATCTTCCCGGACCGGGGCATGAACCCACGTCCCCTGCATCGGCAGGCAGACTCTCAACTACTACGCCACCAGGGAAGCCCTCATCAAATCTTTAACCGTGGTCATTTTTAAGTCTTTTGTCATTTACAGAGAGTTCCGGGTGTACTCTGATGCTTTTGCAAAAATGTTCTTATAAAAGGGTTTCATCTTCAAGGAATTCATGGAAAAGACTCTGACAATACAGGTTTCTGGTAACTGACTATACTGCTGAACTGAATGAATGAGCATTTTCAGAACTCTAATGGAGAACTGATGGATTCATAAAAGTGCTAACAAAAGATCAAGATGAAAAAAAATTAATTACACAGGACTGAGTGAACTGATGATTATAATTTTTGTGATTTTCTGTTTGAATAAAAAAAAAGTTAATGTGAATACACCAAGAGCGTTAACAATGTATACTTTGATTTAGTACTTACTCTTCAAGCAATTCTTAAGGGACCAGTGACAGATACACACACACAGCGATTTCCATACAACTGATTTTCATGTTTAAAGGCAAAACAACCCATTTGGAAACAAATTATCCACAGCACAGGATTAAAACAGTATATGGGGGAATACTATACAGAGCCACAAAGAAGGAAAACTGTCCTGAACTTACATGGGGTCAGGAGGAGGGAATCTTGAACAGTTGAGCATGATTCCACCAGGAACAGAGGGGCATGCGTATACCTTTAGCAGCTCTGGTAGCTATTACCCTTCAAATCAGAGGCTGAAATCTAATTGGTTCTCAAGTTATAGCATGCACCAGATTTCAGCAGTTTCTGATTCAGCAGTCTGGGAAAGGGCCTGAGAATGTGTATTTCTCACAAGCTCTCAACTGTACTGATACTGATGCTGCTGGTCTTAGGACCACACACTGAAAACCACTGACTGCTATAGAATAAATTTTGAGAGGGGGGAGAAAAGCCCCAGAGGTAATGGCCAACAAGGAAAAAAAGGTATAGATTAAAAGCAGTTAGACACCCTTTTCAATAATTTAGGACATACATTCTCTTAAGTTTTTACTGTTTCCGTGCATATAAATTCCAGTGAGCTGTCAAATTTCCCCTAAAAGTTATCGGCTAACAATAGCAAAGAACAGCAGCATACCATCTGTATATTTTCTTAAGCAAAGTGCAACACTGACATATGAAGAGCTCCCAGTGAAATTAAGAACCGTGACAAGTGGCTTACAACTTGTTAGAAATGACCCGTATCATTTTCAGAATTTCCATGAAAATTTCCAACTTACATGGGCACGTACAAAATATATTATGTACTTTGTAAATCATAAAACCAGCTTAACATCTTTATATTTATGTTGTTACTCAACATCTTTATGGACATACTTCATTTTGACAAGGTTAATAAAGATTGCTCTACTTATCAAGAAACGAGACTACTGAAAATGAGCAGCTGAAGAAAGATTCAGATTTTTTTATCCTGAAAACCCGCTTTCCAAAATGAACACATACGGCCTTTTGGCAAAGAAGAAAAGGCGCCTCTACTAAAGAGTCTGCCGTTATGTGTATGTTTCCAATGTAAAACTATATTAAAACAGCACATCATTCAAACTGAATTTCAAAAGCAGTACTCTCGTTGAGTTTCCTTCATTAAACCTTATTCAAAGTCAAAAGTTCCTGACAATTGTGATAGTCAGCTAGGATATTTTGTCTTTGAAATCTATTTTCTAGACTACTCACACTTTTGTTCCATTTCTTTCATTTCTTCAGGAGGAATTTTCAATTTGTCAATATGTTCTCTAACAACACTTGCCCATTTCTGTAAAGAATCCAAAGCAGTCCAAGGCTTTGACATATCAACAACCAACGTAACTAGAGTGTCCTTCAGAGAAATGGCATCCAGTGAAAATTTAAGGAGGCCTTTGTGATACGGGTCTCCATCCAAGATCCATACATTACATCTTGTTTGATCTACAACAGACAAAAGAAAGTTACCAAGGCAACAGGATAAAGTCATTTCATCATCCAACTAACAATACTACTTGGTATTTTAAGGCATCTCCACAGGAGATGTCTCCTTTGGCAAGGTTCACCTACTTGAGTTACATCTACCAATTCAGTAAAGTCCTAATGAATACTCAAGAAAATGATTTAACTGCCAACACAGAAAATCAGCATCCTCTACTTCATATTTCTCAATCCCAAACCACAGACTGAATAACATGTTTCTATTCTTACCATCAGCAGATAGAGCCATGCATATTCAAGATATTATATACGAAAATAAGAAGGCAAGTGATCTATAGAAGAAAAAAATGGCTGATCAGATAAGAAAAGCTGGGGAGTAAATGCCACTTTCATGTCGAAAAATGAGACGATGGTAAAAAGAGGGCAAAACAATCATAGGATACTATTATTTCACTATCGGAGGGAAAATGAACTGAAAATTTGAGATTCTTCAAGGTTAGCAAGAAAGCTAAAGTCTGCACACCAATACCTTAAGACGTTTAAAAATACCACTATATGAATCCCAATCTCAAACCAATAAAAGTATGCCCTAACATAACTATTTACTGACTGGCATGACACAGTAGGTCTCCTAGTAAAAAATGACACACTAAGAAAAGTCAAAGACTAATATTAATATGGACAGCAGTGCAACTTGGAAAGACTTCAGTAAATTTACATTACAAATAAACGACACTCACCATCCCTGTCTTCATCATGAACATTTAAGTACAAATATTCCAATCCTCTTCCTTTCTTATACTCCTCTATTCCCTGAATTTTTCTTATTAAGCTTGTTTTTCCAGCTCCATCTTCACCTGTAAAAAAGGACAAATCTTTAAAATTATAATATGGATTATTAAAGAATGCTTTCTAGTGTGCCAAGAGAAAACCCAACTGGAACGAGCTTCAACCAAAAGGGTAATTTGATGGAAAATAACTAGGTAATTATACAGGTGAAGATGCAGACTTCACCTCCAGGATTCTCTCTCTTGGTATCTCTGCTCCTCTTGTTAAGTCTCATTTCATCCTATTACAAATGGCTTCCTCTATGGGTATTTTTCAGGAGGCTCAACTCTTATGCCATCCTCATTTAATCTACAAGGAACAAAAGACTGTCAGTTTTCAGTCTGAAGACTCTCAGGTAAAGTTGGCCCAGCTGGGGTTATGTGCATACCTAAGGGCCACTCATGGAGGAAGGCTAATACATAAAAACTGACCTGGGCAGGGAACTGTGACTGTAGCCTCACCAAAACCATGAAGCCATAAGAAATATGCGCAAAGGAGAGGAGTGAGGATTGGGGATAGTGAGTTGGGCAAAAACAAGGGCACAGAGAATGTAGAATAGACAAAAATAAAATGTAGACTTAAAAAATATTAATAGCAAGAAATCATGTGATTTAAACTTGGCACAAATTTTAAAAGTTGGAAACTAGGCTAGCTAGTCAATGTTTTGGTGAGTTTCTTTTATATTGTGAATTTATTTAAATACTACATGTTACTATTTCATGGACTTATTTTGTTATTGGCAATATTGTGTTATTGGTACTTAATAAAGGTAAGTTTCTTGGATCTAAGGACTTATTTCTGAAGACTCATGAGTTCTCTGAGAATTTAAAAGTTATTTTCATTTTCATGTTAAGCACTTAAAAAATTCTATATGTCCTGGATCTTCTGAATAACTATCTTTATATCTAAATGCTGTCAGAAAATTGCAGTACCCACCTCTGCATTGGTGTTTATCAACCTTCTGGTACCAAGCTGAGGCCAAGTGATGCAGACGGAACAGAGAAGAGAGTGGCCACATAGGTATGTATGCCAAACTCAAAAGAAAGTGTCCCAGAGCAGTCAGTGCTATTTTCAACTGTACTGGTCAGAATGGTTCTGAACCATTTCCAACATTTCACAGCAATAAGTATAGACTTAACTAAGCAATAAAGAACTTGCCACTAAATGAGTATTTACTTTTCAGTACTATTTTTGCAGTGAACCATTAAAATGGTCCATCAAAATACAGACTGGGTTGAAAACAGGAATATCTATGATAATGACATGAGCTCCATTATGATCATGCTTAAAATGGACATCATAAGGTTAACCAGTGAAAAATAAAATACATAAATACTTTTTTTTTAATTCATTTTATTTATTCATTTAAGCTGCGTTGGATCTTCGTTGCTGTGCACGGGCTTTCTCTAGTTGCGGCAAGTGGGGGCTACTCTTCGATGCGGTGCGCGGGCTTTTCACCGTGGTGGAAACTCCTCCCCAGTGAATGCTGACCATCATTCATTTCACTGGACTAATGGTTCTCAAAAATGCATCAGGAGGGCTTCCCTGGTGGCGCAGTGGTTGAGAGTCCGCCTGCTGATGCAGGGGACATGGGTTCGTGCCCCGGTCTGGGAAGATCCCACATGCCGCGGAGCGGCTGGGCCCGTGAGCCATGGCCGCTGAGCCTGCGTGTCTGGAGCCTGTGCTCTGCAACCGGAGAGGCCACAACAGTGAGAGGCCTGCGTACCGCAAAAAAAAAAAAAAAAAAAAAACTGCATCAGGATAACCTGGGGGTCTTGTTAAAACACACTGCTGGGCCTCACCTCCTGGCTTTCTGAGTCAGTAAGTCTGGGGTGGGGCCCATGCATCTGCATTTCTAACAAGTTTCCGGTGTTGCTGATGCAGCTGGTCCAAGGACCACACTTTGAGAACTCAGACGTTTAGATGTCACTTAGACGTTTACTACACTAAGCCAAGCGCTAGGATTACAAAGATCCACAGGTCAAAGTTGCTGTCCTAGGAGCTCATAAATTGGAGAGGGAAAACAAACAGAAGACAATTTCAAGATACTGTCATTAGGACTGCACTAGAGATGTGCAACAAGCAGGAAACCAGAGCAAAGGGAAGATCCTGGATTTGCTTGGAAGTCAAAAAGGGCTTTGCACAGAAAGTAACACTTCAGCCAGATCTTGTAGTGTTAATGAACCACAGAGAGTTAGTCATTCCAGGAAGTAGGAAAGCATATACAGAGGCCTGGAGACAAAGAAGTGTCCTTCTAGAAGGGACAAATAATTTGAATGCATGAAATTCAGAATGTAAGGGGGAAAAGGAGCCAGAAAGTGAGAATAAAAAGGGAATGCCAGATCACAAAGGGCATCCTATGCCAGGCTGAGATGGTTAGGCTTTATCCTGAAGAGTCACTGGCAGTATTTAGGTATTTTAGGAAGACTGCTATCACAGAGGTGTGGAAGAGTGACTGACAAGGGTAGGTTTGGGAGTAAGGAGACTAGATAATAGACAATTACTGGAGTCCTAGCAAGAAATGAGGTAGGCCTTAACTAAAGTATTAGTGGTGTGGTGCGACAGCTGAACTCAAAGGCTGATTTGGCTGGGAGCTGGCAGAGAGGTTAAGGGAAACAGAGGGCAGAGAAGACCCTCCCTTGCCACAGCTACAGTCGCGCCACCCCTCCTGTTCTACCACTTACCTTTAGGTGGTTGGTCCTAAGTCTTCCTTGCAAGCTTCCACCCCCGCCCCCAACATTTGTGTCTCCCAGGGTTCCTTCTTCAGACCTCTATTCTTCTCGCTCTACATATAATTCTAGTGGAATCTCCACACAAGACTTCAATACCACCTATAATCTGGTGACTCACAGACTTCTTTCCAGCCTCAGTCTCTCCTGAACTACTTACTGGTCATCATTATTTGGATGTCCCATAAAGAACTCACATTTCAATATGCACAGAAGTATTAATATCATTATCTTGCATTTTCCCCCCAAACATTCACTTACATAATTATTAATAAAAGAGTCCCACATCAAGGCCCTTATCCACTGTTCCCTCTATTTAGAACATACTCTTCTATGTGTTACCTAAGCTTCTTCGTAACTTCCCTCAAATATCACTTCCTCAGGTAGGCTGTTGTCCCTAACCACCTCATTTAAAATCACAACCTCAATCAATCAATCAATAAAATCACAACCTCCCAACACCCCTACTGCTTCTTGTTTTTTCTCCATTGAACTTACTAACATAATACGGCTTTTTCTTTTTTTTGCTTAGTCACTCCCTACCCCCCAAAACTCCAGAGGAACAGGCATTTTTGTGTTTTGATAACTGCTGCATCTCCAGTACCTATTAACTCTTCATAGTGAAAAGTATATTCCTAATCCTCCTACACAGTAGCCACTGACAGACTGTCTCAAACAACAAAAAAATATGCCAAGATATTAATACAAGTTTCACAAATCCCTGAATGAACAAATACAAATTCTGTCCCCTTACCCACTTAGGGAGGGTTCTTTTTTTGGGGGGGCCGTGCCCTGCGGCATACGGGATCTTAGTTCCCCGATCAGGGGTTAAATCCATGTCCCCTGCAGTGGAAGCACGGAGTCTTTTTTTTTTTTTTTAAATAAATTTTATTTATTTATTTATTTTTGGCTGCGTTGGTCCTTTGTTGCTGCACGTGGGCTTTCTCTAGTTGCAGCGAGCAGGGGCCACTCTTCGTTGCAGCGCACGGGCTTCTCTTGTTGTGGAGCATGGGTTCTAGGTGCACACGCTTCAGTAGTTGTGGCATGTGGGCTCAGTAGTTGTGGCTCGTGGGCTCTAGAGTGCAGGCTCAGCAGCTGTGGCACACGGGTTTAGCTGCTCCACGGCATGTGGGATCTTTCCAGACCAGGGCTAGAACCCGTGTCCCCTGCACTGGCAGGCAGGTTCTTAACCACTGTGCCACCAGGGAAGTCCCAGCACGGAGTCTTAAGCACTGGACTGCTAGGGAAGTCCTGGGAGGGTTTTTAAACTTTAGTGTGCATTAATGCAAAAGCCTCAGAAGTCAGGACAGAAAAGGGATGAAATTTCAAGTCCATCAATGTGCTTCTATATAAGAAAAATTAAAGGACTGTAGTTTACCTCCCTTTGCCCACAGCCTAGTCAAACAGAACCATTATTGGCTTCTGCTTCCATCTCTATGGAAGCAGCAGGAGCAGCAACCACACAGTGCCTACCGTATGCATTTAACCAGCAGTAATTCCAACACAACCACAACTCTAGCGGAATGATGATTACCTCCCATTTGAGGATACCTGGGGCTCAGAATTGTTAAAGTATCTTATCCAAAGTCTCAAACAGGTAGGAAATGACAAGGCCAGAATCTGAATTCATATGAATTGAACTCCAAAGCACCCTCTTTCCAATATACAACAAATAAACAATAATTAAATCTTTAGAAGACTATTAAACATACTGCTTATTATTTTTGTATTATGACAAAAGAATAAGACACTCCTGCTTCCAGGGGTCACTTATTTTCAGAAGAAAAAGAAAAATGATTTAATGCATTCCTCTCTGTGGGCAGCCTCTGAGTGATGGATGGTTATGTTCCCATTCTCCTGATTCTACCTCTAAGGATTGGGAAAGTTTGTTTTACTATACTAATTTCTTCTCTCCTGGAATTTTAAACCTTGGGGACCCTTTTTTTTTTTTTGCGGTACGTGGGCCTCTCACTGTTGTGGCCTCTCCCGTTGCAGAGCACAGGCTCCGGACGCACAGGCTCAGCGGCCATGGCTCACGGGCCCAGCCACTCCACGGCATGTGGAATCTTCCTGGACTGGGGCACGAACCCATGTCCCCTGCATCGGCAGGCGGACTCTCAACCACTGCACCACCAGGGAAGCCCTTGGGGACCCATTTTAAGAAAAATTTTACAACATTAAATTTGGAAAAAAAGAGTATACTGCCAAATAAATGGAATACGGTAAATATGGTAGTTAGAGATTTTTTCCTCCCATTCTGTGATTTGAAATTTCTCATTTCTGGTAACAAATTACAAGTG